GTGACCAGGCTGCTGTCCCCGGGTTCACACCACACCACCAGAGTAGAAAGGAGGCCGTTCCAGACTGCTTCCCCACACACACAGCATTGGTCTCCCTGGCTCCTCACTGGGATGTGGCGCTGCACAGAGGCTTCGCCCTGGGGTGCCAGCCCAATGTGGGCACCATTTGCACCCGTCTCTCACTGGGTGTCGCACCCTGGCCTCCCTTGTCTCCTGTGGCCCCCCTTATATGGCAGTTCACCCTTCCACCACTTTAAAGGGGTCTGGTGAGCACACCAGCCCTGTGTGGCACCAAGGACCCTCAGCACGTGTCCCTCCTCCATCACCAGATGCTGTCGCATTGGTGTCACTCGGCACACGCAGAGGCCAGGTGTGCAGTCGTCCCTGCCATCCACCCAGGCACACGGGGCCATAAGGCCACAGATGATCCCAAGTTCTGGCCAGGGAGCAGGGGTTCTTGGAACCTGATGAACTTGGCTCACAGGACTGTGGGGCCATCCGGAGATCAGAAATTTTCCATCCAATCACTGGTGGCGTCTCCTGAGTGCCATGCCAGCACACAGCTCTGCCTACAGGCATGCGTGCCAGCCCCTGCCAGCCTGAGGCTGCAAGGCAGAGGCTGCAGTTTTTTCCTTGAAAGGTAGGCAGCCTCGCAGAGACAGGCCAGCCCTCCCAGAGTGGGTGGGACAGACCCTGCTAGGCCGAGCCATGGGCCATGCCAGACAGGCGTCCTGCGACCTCCTCCCTTGCATGCAGGGTGACAGGCAATGAGTGGCCTTCCTTGCAGCTTCAAGGGCTGGGGATTTAGTTCAGTGGTTCTGCTGCTTGCTTCACAGGTGCAAGGTCCCAAGTTTGATCCCCAGTACCAAAAAAAAAAAAAAAAAAAAAAAAAAAAAAAAAAAAAAAAGGCAGCTTCGGGAAAAGCTCCAGAGCTTGAAGGCTTTTTTTTTGAAACAAGGTCTTGAACTCATGGCAGTCCTGCTGCCTTAGTGTCCCAAGAGCTGAAATCACAGGTGTGCACACCACACCCGGCTCCTAAAGCTCTTACCCTCCTGGAAGGCCTGGCTCGAGTGAGGCAGCAGTGCAAGGTCCATGGCTCGGGAGGGAAGAGGGTCGGGCCAGGGCTGCTGCTGTCTTCTGGGCCATCTTGGTGGGGTGGGAATCAGCTTTCTTGCTAGCATGCAACCCAGGGCGGTGGGCAGAGCTTGCCTTGAAGGCAGACATTTTTCACAGGGCTTGGCAAGAAGAAAGATTCAGTCAGAGACTTAAAAAATGAGGCATCTGGTCTGGGAATTTAGCTCAGTGGCGCCTGCGCTTACCTCGCAAGCACAAGGTCCTGAGTTCGATCTCCAGTGCCAGAAAAAAGGAAAAAAAAAACAAAACAGATTTTATACGGCACAGGAAATGAGATGGCTTCAGACTCATCCCCATAAGCATGGCGACCCAGGCATGTGGCTGAGGGTCTCGCTTGCTCAGTGCTTTTCGGAAGCACCAGAGCCGGGCACCTCCTGTCCTATTGCGGCCAACCCGCTTGTCTTCCTGGACGGCAGAGGCTCCACTGGCCATGCCCAGGACAGCTGACCCTCTCATCCCATGTCCCTGAGGGGACTGCCATCCTCTGCTAGGGACTGGGTGACAGATACTGTCATCTCACACAGTGCTAAGCACCCGAGGGCCACACAGCAGGGCCAGCCCCAGGCCAGGCAATCACCACCTCTGTTCAGAGGGGACCAGAAGTTCAAATATCCCCTGGCATCTAGTTTCTCACCACTGGAGATTGAAGCAGCTTCTCTACTGGCCACATCCTTTTCTTTTTTGGAGACAGGGTCTTGCTAAATTGCCCAGGCTGGGCTCAGATTTGCAGTCCTCCTGCCTCAGCCTCCCAGAGCATTGGGATTACAGGAATGCACCAGCATGCATGGCTCCCATATTCTTTTTTTTTTTTTTTTGTGCCCGGGATTGAAATCGGGTCCCTG